TTTTTAGGATTACGATGATCACTTACTGAGTAGCCAAACTCATCAAACTATGGTAAACATTTTTTCAGGATAACTGCGGATTCATTTTGAGTGCTAGTCAAGATCAACCTTGGAAGATATTGTTGTTGTGCTAGCTTTCTTTATTTACTTTGTAACACCTCGCCACTGTAAATTTGTCCTATCAATAGATGTATATATGTTTTGTCTGTCAAATCTCAGGAATAACAGTATTGTAAATTCTTGGGGTGTGACACATTTGGACTGTTGGTTTCAATTGTTTTTAATTGAACCACCTCTTTGCATCCATCATTAAGATAGGTGCTTTATACCTTAGGACCACATATTGTAGAAATGCAGTCCACTTCGCACTAAACAATTTTCCATTACACATTTATTCCTCCAGATTAATTGTGACCACTTTGAACCGAAGATAATGAACTCATTACTCCATATTAGTTGTGACCACTTTGTACCGAAGATAAATAAACTCATTATATACTTTGTCATGATAAAATATAATATGTGGGAACTTAGTGAATTGACCAATTTGGATTGCCCGATTCCTTATAGGTGTTGTTCAGTGATGGAATGAGATGATTTCAGACTAATTCCGGTCCCACAATTAACCGGGTTGGTATGGATTAATCCCCGATTTGGATTTTTGCCATTTTTTTAGATATTGCAGTCCCTGCTTTCAAGGCATACGATGAGTTTGTTTAATTTTATGCAAACGAAATGCCAATTACCGTAACAAACTGGTCATGCTTTTACTTAAAAGTAAAAGATCACCCTACTTTTATGGAATGGAATGTTTGTTTTTAAAGGAATTATGGGATGGAATGTTGGTAGTTGAAAAATAACATATCTATAAAAGAGCGTAGCTAAGATAAGGACGTTGAGATGGATGAGCGGCAAGACAATAAATGATAAAATTTAAAATAAATTCATTTGAATGAATTAAATGGTGAATCTAATATGCGATAAGATGAGGGTAAGTAGACTTGGGAGGTTTGGTCAAATTCAGTGGCGACCTAGAATAACACTAGTTAGGATGGACGATTTGATTCGAACGGAATTGCTTTAAAAAGGCAAAGAGAAGGCCCACAAGGACATGATGTATATAGTTGGAAGATATGTGATGATCTATGACTAGATTAACTGTATGGCCATTAATAGAGTGGAATGGAAGAGTATGATTGAAATAATTGACCCTAAATAGTTGGGATAAGGTTCGAATGATGATGATAATATATATCCAACAATTTCTCATAGATTGCGTCTCATTAGCCCTACCTAGAGCTATTCATAGGTACCATGTTTCTACTATCAAAATGTCAATCTTACTTTTAGTGTGTGCTTATATGTATATGTACGTATTTACATATGTATGTGTGCGTACGCATGTGTATATATTCAAATGGGAATCTTATAACTATAATAGCTAAACGTATTAAACATCGACCAAATAATTTCACATGGATATTAAAGTCATTAATTGTATTCGAACTTGTCAGGATAAAATAATAAAAGGGTGTAGTTTACATTACATAGGGCAGCAATCTTAATTGTAGAAACAAGGTTTGCGTGTTCTAAACTGTCCGTTTATTTATACAATATAGATTTGACGCAATTTTCTAATGTGATGTCAATTTTCATACTGTTTTATAAGTTGTGTAAAATCTACACTGTTCAACCAAAATAGATGGTGTAGAACACGATAACATTGAAAATACAATGTCAAATTAAGAAAAGGTTATGTTAGGGTTCTACCTGTGAGTATCTCTTTAATATACTCAGCAATAAAGGACATTTATTGTCCCTTGTTTTGTAATATAAATTTTTTTGAGTAGTGATGTTTTTCTAGGAGAGGTAGGATAAATATCTCTATAAAAAATCAATGACATTTTATTAGTAGTTAAAAAGCAATCATTGTTTTATGTGGATGATGTTATCATCCGCTATAGTTAATAAATGCTTATTTTTCTATCAAGAATTTATACTTACCTCTATTTAATTACCTAAAATATTTATTGAAAAAACATTACTTCATAGTGGGATAAGGCTATCGAGTGTGTAAAAATGTTGAATACCTTAAAAAAATACTAATATGTGTATGAATACCTTAACATAATCCATTGAAACTAGGAAAAATTTATATAGAATCGAGGCTTTAAACAATCAAATTAGAGCCCACATCAAAAATTTATGGAGAAGGGGTTGTTTTGATGCCCAAATATCCTCAAATTGATCACCTCGACATCAAGATGCATGGATATGAAAAAAATAGATTTCGAGTTTGGAAAATAATGGACCTTGTAATGCATATTTGGTCCTTTAATTTTCAAGATTTTCATAGATCTTCTCGACCTATACTATTTTTGAAGCTTTAAATGTTTTAATTAAAAAAAAACATAATTTAAAGCTATCAAAAAGATTTCCAGTATTGAAACCACATTTCTTGACACTACTTGAAGGTGTGCTTTATTTTTTATTATTTAAAGCCTCGACTCTATACAAACCGCACCCTTAAAAATAATGTATAATATCATAATCTTACAATTACAAGTAAAGGTCAAGTTTGCAACATTTATTTTTTAAAAAAAAAGCAATAAAAAATCTTAACTAAAGTTCAGGGCCGGCAATTGGCCTAAAAAGCACTAGGCCTTGGACCAAAAAATATGGCTCGAGGCCGGCAATCACAACCAAGGGTACGGTCGGGCGAGATACGGTACGGTTATGATAGATCCGATCTGACCCAACCCTTTTGTTCTCTTGAATTTTACATTTGATTTTCTCTTTGATTCTATTTGACCGAACCTGCCTAGCCCAGCTGTAATAAAGCCCGGGCCTCTTTGGCCCTTCTCTAGCCGAGCCAGGCCTGGGCCTGCTTGATGGGAACTGGGCTAGGTCCAGTTTTTGGGTGGAAATAGTAAAGACAAAAGCGCCAATAGCAATTTTTCTTGAGGTTTATAGAGGACCCTCTCGTCCGGTCAAATCGAAGCATACAAATCGAATCTCCTTCCTTAATTCGTATTCCCGCTATTCATTTTTCTCTCCTCTGCAATTCCTTCCTGATTCCAGGAAAAAAAAAAAATCAGAATAAGAAGAGAAAGAGTGTGTAGTTTTTCTCATCAATGGCGTCCGACGGAAAACCCCTGAAACAGATCGCAGAGTCCTTCCAAGAGATTGCACTCACTCTGAATTCGCAAGCCTCTGATATTGAGGTTACCCCATTTTCGCGAGCTTGCTCTCATGTCTCTGTCCTCTTTGGGTGTCTTGGACTAGCCTTCAAATTTGCAGAAATGGATTATGTGGCCAAGGTGATTGAATGTTCACTGTGTTTTTTCGAATTATTGATGAGAATTGATGGGATTTCGTGCTTCAGTGTTATGGGTTTGTGAAAACAATAGTTTTTTGGCAGAAAAAATTGCATTTTTACGTTGGTTGTTTGCGTTTTCTCTTGAATTTTTTTATTTTTAGGATAGTTATTTGGAACTTCTTATCACATCTATTAGAAACTTTGCTTATGTTAGATAGATGCGCAATTGCTTATGTTTCATTACAAATGGATTTATTGTTTAATTTGGTGAGAATTCGAAATGATTTATTGGATTGTTTTGGTTTGAAATTTTGGACATTTTGTTCTTGACTGCTTTGGTTAATCTTTGATGGGGAGGGAGGGAGAATGTGTTTGTTGTTTAGTTTGGCGAGAATTCGAAATGATTTATTGGATTGTTTTGGGTTGAAATTTTGTAGGGAGGGAGGGAGAGTGTGTTTGTTGTTTAGTTTGGTGAGAATTCGAAATGATTTATTGGATTGTTTTGGGTTGAAATTTTGTAGGGAGGGAGGGGGTCAGAATTCAAAATGATTTATTGGATTGTTTTGGGTTGAAATTTTGGAGGGAGGGAGAACGACAGATTTGAATTGTTGGAATGTGATAATTTGAAAATTCAGCACATGTCAACGGGTTAAAGAATTCACACTCAACTGGCATTTATATCACGTTACTCTGATTGCTCTGGAAATTTAGGTGGGTACTTTCTTCTCTCTCTCAATTTCATGGATGAATTGCTAAGATTATGTTCATTTTATTTCAGAGCATAATTTTGACATCAATATTTGAGCATTTTCATCACTTTAGCGAATTAGATGAATGATGAGATATGGAAAAAAAAAATCTATTGTTTCATTAAATTGAGGTGGGGTGAATTCCTCTTAAGATTTTCTTCTCAAATACTTTCTTGTGGTTGTCATAGAGGATTAATTTGCATGATGCACATATTGACACATGGTCTTCATCTATTTGCTTTTGTTTACATGTTTTGCGATTATTGTCTATGGAGCTTTTACTTTCATCATCATCATCATCCGAGAATTATCCCAACTATTTGGGGTTACCTATACGAATCCTGTTTTGCATTATGCTCTATAAATGGCCAAACCCTTAGATATAGGGAATGCCCTGGTATGAGCATGTAATATAGGTTTAGGATTCATGAAAAGATGTGTTAAAATTTCATGCTGGAAGCCTACCTAAAACAACCTTCTTCCTTTATTTGGGCTTGGGACCAGCATGGCCGGCTTGGGACTTGCCATGGCAGAGTTTTTATTGTACTTTCTGTAATTACTTAATTTTCACAAAGGTGGGAATATGGCAAAGTTCATGGCGACTTATTTGAATAATTATGTCTAAATCTTAGTTCAAACACTCATTCATGTATACAATTATTGTCTCAACTCTCAAAGCAACTTACAATACGGTCAATTTTTTAGCCCTTTGCATCATTTTTTTTTGAAACTGTAGCCTCGTGCAATTAACCATTTGATAACTCTAAATGGCCCAGCTACAGGTTTTCATTTGCATTATCTTGGGTCACCATTTGTTTCCCTTGTCATATAACATGCTAATTGAACAAACAACTATTTCTGGAGCTTCTCATCAAACTTACTTCCTATTCACTTTTACTTGAAGTTTGAAATTACGTTAGTCTGCATGTTTCTGAGTAAGTCAGTCCATTCTGAAGGTCCTTTGGGAAGATCATTGTGTTTGTGAATAACCACTTAGATACGTCATAGTGTATTTTGTGTGTGTTGTTCTGTATTTACTATTTTTCCTCTATTGATTGGTTATATACAAATGTTGCTTTCCAAATCTCCTATAAATTTGAGCATTGTCGAATTTAGGAGACAACCTTCCATATTGAACTATTAAATCAAGATCAAAAATTTGAAGGGAAAGTATAGTAATGGTGTTTGATATATTGTACACCAATGTGGCATCCCCCATCCATTCCTGATGATGATTACAACACCTGGAAGAATGTCCACGCTTAGGACCCACAAATCTCTATTGGTCATCATTTTTGAAGGGATTGTGGATGCCTGTCTTCTAGAATATACAAAGTGAAGGTGTGGTGCTTTGCCATATTGAAATAGGCTACTGTGTACTAGGGTGCACTTGTGGTTTTGAATTTGTTTGGTCCTGTGTTCTGCTTTTGCTCACCTTAGATATAATAGAATGCGTAGCTGGATGAGGATTTATTCCAATGCATTGATTTTTCTTTCTCAATGTTGCTGATGTTCTTTAATATTTGTATTTTAATAGGAAGAAGTGCATGAACTTTTATTGCTTATAACCAGGTCGGAGATCTAGTGGAAGCTTCCAAGTCAATTGGTACATTGCAATCCCTACTTGATGATGACATTCAGCAAAACAGTGTGAGAAAAGGGGGGAGTCATTCTCGCAACCTTCTTAGGGTGAAGCGTGGGCTTGACATGGTCAGACTTCTATTTGAGAAAATTTTGGTGATGGAGTATGTTCGTAACTAGCAAAATTTCATTCCACATTCATTTTTAAGTTAATTTCCTTACCAATGTACAAATGTTATCAGATCCGGACTTATTTGTTTTTATTGTTGCTGAATGATATGAAATGCTATGTTAACTTCCTCCAAAATTTTGTGGTTCTCTTTAGGGAAATTTATCAAAAAACACTAAGATGAACTATTTAACATCTCCCCTATTTCATTTGATTTGATTTCAAAATGCCATCAAAGAACACATATTCATGAGTTAGCATAGTTGATATCTTAGGCGTGTTTTGATACATGGGTGAAATGTTAAATAGTTGATTTATACTTTCCCTAAATATAAATTGATGGACTAAAGATCAACTAGCATAAGGATTTTTAGGAGAATGACATTGAAACACATGAAGAAGCAATATACTTGGAAGCTTGATTGCTCTATTTCTTTTTTCATAAAAAAAAGAAAAAGAAAAATAAAAGTAAAACTGACTGCTCTCTGTTGTATTATTTCTAAGTTCTTTATTGCACTTCGAAAATCCTTAGGCTTGCCTTCCTATAAGGGATTTTTTTGTTAGTCCTGCGTTACATTCATCATGTTATGATTATTATTAATTAGAACTACTGTTCCTATGGCAGGGGAAATTCCCTTAGGGATCCAGCATCAGTGGCATATGCACAGGTTTTTGCTCCTCACCATGGGTGGGCCATTAGGAAGGCTGTTGCTGCAGGAATGTATGCCCTTCCTACTAAGGCGCAACTTCTTAAGAAGCTAAATGAAGATGGTATGTAGGGTACATGGTTGATTATTTTCTTATTGGGGAATTTAAACTATTATATAATCCAAGGTGCTAGTTATATGAAAGAAAATAGCAATTTTTTAGTCCAATGTCTCATCCACATCTAGTGAATTGGTGGACAATGATGGAGAAAGGTGGTACCTACCAAAACCGGAGAGAATTCAAATGGTGCGTCCCATCCTCTATACTCCCATCATTTCATTGAAAGTGCTGACCCAATGCATTATGGGTTTCACATAGTCCAATGGATTAGAGCAGTGATTAGAAATTCGACAAGTTGACTTGGAACTGGTTTAGTCAGCTCGAGACTGGTAGGTTCCGGGCCGAGTCTCGCGTGAACTTGGGCGAGATGCCAGTACCAATGAAATAAAAAAAAAGAAAAAAGAAAAAAAGAGAAGCATATATACTATAACCCCCAAAATAAGGCATTGAAGCCATCAATTTGAGATTTTGATAAGGTTTTATTATAAAAAATTTATGATTCTTCAACCCCAAAATTCTTATCCTCCTTTCTTCCAATTTCTCACTTGATTCTTAATGAAAACACCTGAAATTTGATTCAAATTATTTGTTTTTAATCCCTCTATTAAACCCCCTGCCAATTTTTAGTATAAAAAATCAAAACAAAAGAGGTTGAATTTTTAAATTAGGGGTTTCTTGAACCTGAAATCGGAAATCTTCAATTTCTCTCCCATTTTTTTACCAAATTCATTCAAATCTATCTCAAAATGTTTCTATCACATTGATCTATAGAAGCCCTATTTCTTATTTATCTTTGAATGAAAACCAAAAAAATATGAATTTTGATTTTTGGTATTTTTCAGCCCTTTTATCCGCCTTTTTCTTGCCCTTATTTTTAATTTGTAATTTTGGATTTTGATTTTGGCTTATGCTTCCTAGAGTATGAAATCAATTGTTTGATTTCAAATACTTGATTTAATGTATTTTTAAATTTTCAAATTTTTTATCTTTTACTTTTTTAAAAAGTTTTTTTAATATAAAATGAGTCAGCTGGTCTGACTCACCATGTCTACTCTGTTGACTCGGATCTGCAGGTACTCAGGTCGGGTACCCGAGCGCGGTTTTTAAACACTGGATTAGAGTATATTTTCTCTCCATTTGTTTTTGAAGTTTATGAAGAATTTCCAGTAAAGATTGCCATAAAGGTCATTGCCATTAGGTTTACTGTTTATTTTATTTTTTCTTTCATAGGTACCACTAATTTTACTAAGCTAAAGTAAGTGGAGCGTAGTCACCTTACATGTGGTGCCTTCCATGAATCTTTCACTATATTCATGAACTGATTTCTCTTCATGAATTTTCGTAGGAAAATTGCAAGTTACAAAACCTGAAGTGTGAACCTCAACATGAAATCTTAATTTGTTACATGGGAAGTGAAACAAATGGACGTCAACTACATGAAACATCACAAACTTGGTTCTCTTTGCCATGTAGTTTGTCATGTCCTTTGGAACCTTCCAAATACCATTCCATGTTGTTTCCTGGCACCACACAGGACCATTTATTTTATCTCCTTCCAAATTCTTTTATGATTTTGTAAGGAAAGTACACTTTGGATGTATAAATGCACAAGATTTACAAAAAGGTTCCATCAACCACTCTGTCCGTTTAGCCTCCAAATTCCATTGACCCCATCTACATTTCATAAACCACCTTGGAATCTAAGTTGACTATCGTCATGGTTTTCTCTCTCTGCCCCAATTTTGGGTCTCATCTGTGGTTCCCATGAATCCTGTGGACTGAGCTTGGAGACACTGGTGCAACTTTGTGACTTTGGTTATCAAGATCAACATTATGTATTAACCCAATAATAGACCTTATGGTAAGATCCAACTAAACCAAAAGGCCTATCCACCTCACAGCCACTGACCCTGTTGATTCGGAAGAAAATGTTATCTATTAACCCAAATGAAATAAAACACATATTTCGATAGGACTGGAGGAAAGGTCAGAACCACAAATTGTTCCACCACCTCCGAGGCAGTGGATATCAGCCACCCCACTAGCTTGATACCCTCCTCTCAGGCCCAATCCTTATTTCAGAATCTTCGGTTTCCTAAGTTGTTTGCTGATGCCACCTATTCTGCATAAGAATACATGTTCAGGTTTCGTAGACTTACGTGCGCCAGTAGCACAGTTGAGGATGAAACTCTTGCAGCAGGAAATTTACCATTTCATAATGAAGCTTCTTTTTGTGGAAGACACAGGATATGTAATGCTTTTCTGTATTTCAGAGATGGTTGTGTATATCACAGTTTTGCAACACATGGGATGGACAGCCTTGTAGTATTTGTGTAAAGGGATATTTACTCATTTTGATATTCGTATATCACATACGTGCTATTATGAGCTTTTTCTTCTAATTTGAAATTACATTATTTTGTGTCCCTCCATTTTTTTTAACAGTGTTTTCGTCTGTTATCTTGCTTTTCGTTATATGAAATTCCATAACATGCTGATACTGTTCAAATTAACATGTTGATACTGTTCAAATTGATCTTGATGAGACCTAAAAATTCTGGGCTCCAAATCACTCTTGTGCAAAATCATATTAAAGAGTTACACTCAATTAAATTGATAACGTAATGAACCTTATGATGTCTCATGTATAAATTAATCAAACACAATTTTTTTTGAATTGTAGATTGTAGAAAAATGAAAGTCTTGAAGAAAAAACTACTGTCTAGTGCCTTTTGCTTATGTGTCTTAGTGGCTAGAGAAATTAGGCCATATTCCATATTATACATTCAATGACCTGTAATCTGTTCTTTCAGAGGCTTCAGCTAGGGTTCAAATGGAAAGCTATGTTGCTGCCTCAACTCCAATCATAAATTACATCGATATACTGTTCCTCTCACGAGAACTAGGAATAGACTGGTGAGCACCCAACCTGTATGGCTTTGATATCATTTCTTTTTCTTGACATAATTGGATTGAGGCCCTAAAGGAGGGTATGTAAAACTATTATGTAAACATTATTCATGTATATTTGTTCCCTTAAATAAAATTATTGAAAGTTTTTTTTTTTGAGAAATAAAATTATTGGAAGTTTTCAAAATTATATTTTTGCAAATATGGCACAAATAGCACATTTAGGGCCTTTGGATGCACTTGTTATAACTAATAATTCACTATTTAAATAAAATAATGTTGATAATGAATTATTTGTTGTTTGGCAGTATCCATCATAAAGTTATATGAGATAAACTTATAGATAAATCTACATAAAAGCTTATTTTTTCTAAAACATATTCACATTATTCGAAGTAATTTGTTGAAATTATATAAAACTAGAAATTGCTAAAAATAGTTGGAATTCACTGAAAGAAAGTAAATAATTAAATAATATTATGTATAATATAGGATGAGGTACTGTGGTGTATGTTGTTTGCGTGCGATATAGTTTTAATCGATGAGACCTGAAGCGGCATTCACACAAAGTTAGAACTTTGTAGGGATGCGCTAGAATCTAAAGGTATTAAAATTGGTTGGACTAAGACAGAGTGCATGGAATAATAGGAGTAGAGACGAAGAAGTAGTTAAGATTAACAACCAAAAAATACCAAAAAGAGTGCACTTTCAATATCTTGGATCGATAATTCAGGAAAATAGAGAGATTGAGGAAGATGTCACACATAGAATTGGAGCTAGGTGGGGCGAGGTGGAGATGTGCAACTTGAGTTTTATGTGATCGTGGCAATACCAATGAAGCTGAAGGAAAAGTTCTATAGGACAATTGTGAGGCCATCTTTGCTTTATAGGATGGAATGTTGGGCGGTTAATAAACGATATGCCCATAAGATGAGTGTAGTTAAGAAGAGGATGTCGACATAGATGAGTGACAAAACATAAAGAGATATTATTCAAAATGAATATATCCAGGATAATTTAGGTATGGCTCCAATAGGCGATAAGATAATAAAAAGTCGACATAGGTCGGCTGGCCATGTGCACTGCAAACCCAGCACAACACTTGTTATGAGGTGTGAGTTGGTTCAAATGGAAGGCCAAAAAGGGCAAGGGGTTGGCTCAGAAAAGATATGACTCGTTGAAGTATGACCCTTGATAGAGCAGAATTGCGGATCGAGATTCATGTAGCCAACCCAAAATAGTTAGAAAAAGACTTTGATGATGATGATGATGTATAATATAGGATACGTACCAAACAACTAACGTAACAATATTATCCAAAATATATTACTTTTAAATAAAATAGTCTATTCTAGATAAAGTCAATTGTCAGAGAGCCTATTTGGATGTCCTCGTTATCACTGATAATTCACTTTTTAATTAAAAGTAATCCTAATAATGATCTATTTGTTATTTGGTAGTGTTCGTAATAAAGTTAGTGAGATAAACATATAGGTAGTTTTACATATAGTTTTGTCTTTTCAAAAACTGTTTTTATTTTAGTCAAAGTAATTTGTTAAAATCGCATACAACTAGAAATAGCTAAAATAGACATAAAAACACCAAAAATTTAAATAATTAAAAATATTACATAATTCAAGATACATACCAAAGAGTTAATAGAGCACTATTATCTGGAATAAATTACTTTAGGGAGTGATATATTGCAACAATTCTATATTAGTATAATGAAACATTTTTCAAAACCATGCTACGACCATTTGTTTGACCCCAATTTTTAAATATACACTTTTTTCATTTTGAACAATAATATAAATATATATTTTTTTTGAAAAAACACACACTAGAAAGTCTTTTTTAACCTAATTAATATAGGCCGTCCATATTAATGAGATACTTAGATATAGCTTTAGAATGATTTTTTTACCCTTCCAAGTTTTTTAGATAGCTTTCTTATCATTGGATTAATAATATTAAAAGAGAGAAAAAATGATTTTGAATTAGTTCAGACCTAGATCTTAAAATTCACCAAATAAATGGTTTATATTTATTGTTGGAGGGGGATTCATTTTGACCATATCTAGGGTGCAAATTGAATTTTATATTTTTTAGGATCGACTATTGGGATTAAGAGAGTGTGTGCAAATTATGGGATTATACAAATGTCATAAACATGGTTTTCTAAAGTGTGCTTTCATTATATTCAATTGTATTATTCCCCTATTAATTTTAGATAAGATAGTCTATTCCATATAAAGTTAATTGTCATCCAAACGGGCCTGAACTGTGTGTTTGGATGTACTGGTTATCACTGATAATTCCTTTTTTCAATAACGTTAATCATAATAGTGGATTATATGTTCTTTCATAGTATCTCTGATAAAACTATTTGAGATAAACTTATGGGCAATTTTACAAATAGGTTTATCTTTTTGAAAAGCCATTTCTACTTTATTCATAGCAATTTGTTGAAAATCAAATGTTTTTAATCACAAATGACCAAAAGTACCTAAATTCTTTTAATAATTAAATAGTATCATGTGTTATGTGTTAAATAACTAACAAAATAATTTTACACGAACTATATTAATTCTATATAAGCAGCTTGCTCCTAATAAAATTAAATATCATCCAAGCCCTTTGGAGCCTTTTTGTGGATTGACAAATTATTTAAAAATTAAATTTCTGAGGAGATTGATTAGGCATATTAATTGTCCCTTGGCTTCAATTGAGTGGTAGATATATCAGTTTGGCTTTAGCTTGAATACTTGAAATTGGTTCTAAGAAGCCAAACGAGCTGATCTATCTTTCATTCACCAAAAAAGAAAAAGAGATTGATTGTGTACTGAACCTCCTTATTTATACTATGAAATAAGAAAATATAGTTAACAATCAAGGTAATTACTTACATATTTTAATGTCTAAGTTAGTATTAGGATATGTTTTGCTTTTTGGGTAAGCTATTTGCTAATTTTAAATTTGATTGCCTTATCTACATTAATTCACTTAAGGTGAACTGCTTCAATATTAGTAATATTTCATAAGTAACTCATATATATATATATATATATATATGGGAAAATATGGGATTAGCCCACTAGCTCATATGAACATATGGGCCCAACGGTTCATATTGAATCTGGGCCGATCTGACGATCATAAATGTCATGTAGTGCTTGAATTTTATTTTATTTTCTACAAATTCAAATCACTTGAAATTTTATTTGTGTGTTCTTCTCATCAAGGCGCACTTAAAAAATATATATATAAAAATTATTCGTGAAAAACAAAATAATCAAAATACTCCCCTAAAACTTTTTGGGGGTATTTTGATTAATTTATTTCATATAAAAATTTTGATATTTTTCGACAATTAACCTA